CTGAATACTTGGGGAGCAGCTGTCCTACTTGTGCTTTAACGATGAAAACGTGCCAGGCTGAGGGGTTATTGGCCTGCGGAGCTTGGCCTCGGGTGTTAATTGACTGGGTTAATAACGACTATGGGGGCGAGTGGGAGTGTGCGGTGAATGGAGGGTATTCGAGTTATGACTGGAAAGCGCCGTTAGTTTAACTGTCACTGGATACACTTTGTAACGTCTCGTTGCAGCTCGTGCTTTAACGATGAAAACGTGCCAGGCTGAGGGGTTATTGGCCTGCGGAGCTTGGCCTCGGGTGTTAATTGACTGGGTTAATAACGACTATGGGGGCGAGTGGGAGTGTGCGGTGAATGGAGGGTATTCGAGTTATGACTGGAAAGCGCCGTTAGTTTAACTGTCACTGGATACACTTTGTAACGTCTCGTTGCAGCTCGAAGGTTCAGCTGGGAGCCAGGAGGCCTGGGGTAGCCCCAGCTCTGCAAGGCGGAGTGGGGTGACCTAGTGGTTAGAGTAGGAGGCTGGGACTCGAACCCCAGGAGTCCTGGTTCCCAGCTACCCCCTCCTATTCTAACCTGCCAGGGCATGGCGTGCAGGAATCTCAGCTCTAGAACTGCTCCGGAGTCAGCGCGGGAGGGCTGGCGGGTCGCTTAGCTCTGCAGGACAGGGATGCACGAGGCGGTTTGACGGAGCACAAGGTGGCTGCCCGGTGTATATTCTCCCGGGGCCTGGTTTCATGCCGCCGGCCTTGTTTGCTGTCTTAGAGCCGGCTGGAATCTCTCCCCTCGGGAAAACGACCCCCCGGGAAAACGTCCACCTGCTGTCGACGGAGGGGCCTTCAGAAGGCAAAAGCTGCCGGCTCCCAGCAAGTCCCCCTGGCTCTCTGCATTTTTCGTTTTCACTCCCGGTCTCTCGGGAACACGCCGCCCGCCCTCGGGCCTGTCTTGACCCGAACTTTCTGATAACAGCGTTGGCTTTTTCCCAGCCAACTTGGCTAGAAATAGGGCCCAGCCTTAGCATCTCCACCCGCCCCGGCTCAGAGGAACCTTCTGGGCTGCTTGCGAAAGGCAAACAGGAGGAGCGGGGCCATGTCTCCCGAGTGGATCCGCAAAGCGTCCCTCGGCAAAGGGGCTTTCAAATCTTCCGGGGCGGCGGGGGAGAGGGGGTCAAGGCAGGCCGGGGACACTAGTAATTGATTAGCCAGTGGCTGGAACGGACAGACTTCGCTGTGGAAGGATTTTCTTTTCGCCCCACTTTGGGGGAGACATCTTGGGGGGCAGGGGATTGTCCCGGGTTATTACTAGGGGTACGTGGAGGCAGGGGGCCTTGGGCACACCTGGGACAATTCCATGCCCCCCCATCCTGCGAGTCCCTGGATACCACCCTTCGCAACCCCTGTCCCCCCATGCCCAGTGCGCTGTGCTCCCCCATTATCCCCTTATGGGGGTCCCCACTGTCCGCCCCGCTGCCCTCCTTCTTTGGATGAGAGTAGTGCCTGGGAGCCCCAGTCCTGGCCCCGCCCCCGCCCCACGCTGCGCCAGGCGCTGTACAGAGGTGAACCACTGGGGCACTCAGGGCTCCTGCGGGGTTACAGCCGCATGCGTGTGGGTAAGACCAGCTTTCCCCTCCCGGTCCTGCCCCAGGGCGGCCCTGGTGCCCCGCCCTGCCTCTCCTGTGACCGTCTCAGCCGCTGTCTCTGGCGGGCACCTGGCC